GGGTACTCAACTCTAGGGCGTGGGGGTGAGCTGATTTGCGGCGGGAGTGGCGTCGTCGTTGGCTGTGAGCAGGGTGTGGAGAGGAGATCGGACAGAGTTAGCGGGGGGAAGTCAGCGAGGATGGAAATGGATGTATGCGCGGGGAGAGAAGGAGGAGTTTGTATCTTCTTTGTTTTCGATTTTGATTGGATATGATGCCCGGGCGTTTTACTCCGTTGCTTTTCCTGCATGGAGTCTTGTTGGTCTGTCGACTCGTATCGAAGGGGCGACGACGTGGCTGGCAGCTGGTCCCTGTTGCCCTCCATTCCTGCGTCCTGTGGGTGATGCGTGTTGACGTCTCCGGCGGCTGCAGTACGTGGAGGCTGCTCCTCCACCTGGGGAGGTGGCTGGCGGGTTCTTCGGCTTGTCGGCGGCTTCACGATCGGGCCGACTGGTGATGATACCTTTGTTGATGCTGGGAGACTTCCTCCTGATCTGATCGTGGCTTGGCGCCTCCGCGATGGCACTCACGTGGAAGGAGAGGGGGGTCGGGGGTGGCTCCTCCTTGGTGGGAGGAGTGCTGGCGATGGCTGGTTTGCGCGTCCCTTTCGGAATTCGAAGGCGGCGCGGTAAGCGCAGGTGGGCGGGAACGGGCGGTGCGACTCAGTCGCGTTCACGCGCGGGCGGACGGGCGGGCTTCCATGGGCGAGGCCCCGGGGGCCTGGGCGTTCTCCGGTAGCACAGAATAGCGCTCCGGTGCGTTAGTGGGTGGCGCTGACCGGACGGCGCCTAAGCTCGATAGATTTGAAGATTTGATTTGTTCTGAGAGCAGTATTCTTTATCTCACGCATTTCCTTACTCTTTGCTGCAGCCTAGGCACTAACGTAGCCCTCCCTCTCCACATGTGGGCTGTCTGCTGCAGGCTAGGCAGTAACATATCACCCTCAGGGACACGCTCCTGGGGTTATCCAGTGATTGATCACCATCAGGTTCCCATATTCAGTCAGGTTCTGCGGTTATCCAGTGGTTGATCACCATCAGGCACACGCTCCTGGGGTTAGCAGTGAGTGCTCCGCAGCACGGTTGGCTTTCTTGCATGTTCAGACTCTCCTCTCCAGTTAGAGGTTGCTCCCCATGTAACTCAACCTCTCCCCACCCTCCTTGCTCCCAACTTGAGGCTGTGTGGGGGTGCACTGTCGCATGGCAGCGACCCTGAACTGATCAGTGAAGCAGAGTCAATCCCTTTTCCCTCGCTTCCTGGTGGATTCCGTTCTGCCCTTTGCCAACGAGCTATTTTCAAAGGTTGATTGTATTTTTTCTGTTTTTTTTTTTTTTTTAATCTAGTTTCTTCTTCATCCGTTTCGGAGTTGCTGCAGTGTATTGGCATCTTACCTTTGTCCTCATCATGTGCGCGGTTTCACTCCTTAAAGAACCATGTACATTGGCCTGCCATTGCGGCCGCAAGCTCCGTATGCTTGCAGCCGGTGCAAAAGGGCCACCGTCGCCAGCCCAGAGGAGGCCCGAGCGGGTTCGTTTTTGGGGGGCTTGCAGGGTGTCTCCAGCCTCATGAAAAAATCGAGGCTCGGAAGTTGAACCTCAATTTCCAGATTTGGTCTTTTTTGGTGGTTTAATGGTATCCACTCTGTTCTCGTTGTTCTGCTGTGGATGCTCTAGTTGAACTCAATTTCCAGATTTGTCACAGCCTTGTCCTTCTCAACCCTCACAAAAAGACGGTACTTCTCCTTTGGTCACTTGCGATCCCTTGCCTCGTCAATCGATCTTGTGGTGTCTGTTCGGCAATTGATGAGCAAAGGAGGGGTTAACGGACTCCGTGTGTTACAGGCCCTCCCTTTTGCGGGCCTACCATCTTCCCCCCCGGAACACGATGCACCCTCATTTTGACTGTATCGGGACGGAAACATACCTTGTATACGTTCATTTTTAGGGTGCGTTATGTTCGGCGGAAGACGGTAGTGCTCTTACTGAGGTGGTCTCAAAGTGGGAAGCGGTCATGGGCGAGGTGAGAGACCAGGTCTCCCTCGCACTCTTCGTAGAGTTCCCCTTCACTTTTACCGGGCCATCTGTCAATTGTGACCGCTAGATGAAAGTATGATTCCCCTTGAGGTGGACCTTAGATTTTCCTCAGTAACATCTTCGATCTGCTGTTACCATGCTCGTCTTGGCTGCGAGTCTGTGGTGTTAAATCCTCTGTGGACGGAGCGCTCTTTTTTTTTTCTTTTTTTTTTGGTAAACAGAACCTTAGGGTTCTGACTCCATGTCCATTCTGGGGAGCATCTGTCCGGATCCTATTTTCCACCGGCAATTCAAAAGTAGTACATCAGTTACTCACACACGCTCCTCCCCGTTACGGTAGAGAGGCGCTTTGTTTCTCAGCATGTTGCCTATTTTTGAGTGTATGTTTGCTGTGAATCTTGATTGCAAATCTCTCATGGGAAGTGTGGTGTTGTGTGTGTGTGTGTGTGTGTGTGTGTGTGTGTGTGTGTGTGTGTGTGTGTGTGTGTGAGTTGAAGGACACTACAGCCATGCAGGGGTGGTGTGGATATCACGACCGGTATGGATCCACTTTTGTACACGGTGCCATGGCCGTAGTGGTTAAGAAACTCGGCTTTTGAGGCTGAGGGCGCCGGTTCGAATCCGTGCGTGCATGGAGGAGGTCCAAGGGCTGATAAAAGTACAGACTGTACTCCAGCCAGGTAACCAGCGGAAATCAGGCCAGGATTGTGGTGGCCCATGGGTAAAGGCCCGTTGGAAAACCAGTCATCTGGATGGGAGCTGAGTGGCCGAGAACTGCCTGTTTGGCGGATGCCTGCATGTGGTGGTGGTGTGTGTGTGTGTGTGTGTGTGTGTGTGGCCTGGGGCGGATAAAAGTACAGACTCTCAAGCTGCGGTGAAAGAATTGGTCTCAAGACTCTCAACTTACCTTCTATAACTGCCTCCTTTGTTTGATCTTCTATTGTCTGATTTCTCTGGTTAATTGGTTGTTAGTTACTGGTCTTTGTTGCTATGGGTTCTCCCCGTGACTCCCAAGTTTCCAACTCAAACATCTACTGGGTGTCTCTAGATGCCCGACAATTCCTGCTCAGAGCGTCAAGGCAAGGGCACACAATGCTCCACACGCAAGCAAAGGTCCCCTGCCGACTGCAGCAGCAATTTTGAACCTGTGTAAGGATTAACAGAATGTGTTTCGGTCATCCGGCCGCCGATTGGATTGGAAGCATCCGTCAGCCTGGGTGTTCAGCCCCCCCCCCGGGGCATCCCGGGGGTTCAGAGCCGTGTGCCGCTGATACTGGCACCAGGGGGTGGGAGTGGTCCTTGGTTTGTTCCTTACAGCAGGGTTAGAGGGAACTGTTCAGTTGCATAACATTCATGAAGCTAACTGAGGCAGACGTAAGGGGTGGTATATTCTTCCCGAGGGAAGTAATCGATGCCGTCCATCCGTGATGGGGAGGAGCGTTGCATGAGTAAAATTTGTACTCTTCTGACTTGGCGGTGGAAAAGGAACTGGACTGCTGCTCCCCAGAATAGAAGAAGCCTTGTGTTAAAAAAAAAAAAAAAAACCCGGATGTGTAAGGGACGCTGGAGCCAGTTTCCGGCATTATTAATACAAGATCCGATTCTTGTAACAAAAAAAAACAAGACTAAACAAAAAAAAACTTAAAAAAACAGAATGTGTAATCTTCATAGGGACATCCATTAGTATTGGAACGATACAGAGAAGATTAGAATGGCCCTTGAGTCAGCTGATATGCACAAGTTGAGAAATGGGTTAACCCCCCCCCCCCCTCTTCCTCCTCCCCCCCCCTTCCCCCCCCCCCCTTTGCAAGAAAGGGAAAAGGAAAACAATACCTGCGGTCAGAGTGGACGAGAGCCCCCATATACCTTTYTGAAAAGGAAGGGGGGGGGGGAGGGGGGGGGGGAGAGAGGGAGAGAGGGGTACAAAAACAGAAACCAGCAATGTGGAGAGGTATTCCATAAAATGTGCCTTTCATTGACAGTGGCATCTCGGCATCGCTCTTTTGTCTGTTCACTACCTGGATTCATCCAAAAGTGTTGATAGAATTTCATAAAACGTATTTTAAAACACTGACCGAGAGGGTACAAAAACAGAAACCAGCAATGTGGAGAGGTGGGTATTCCATAAAATCATTAAAATGTGCTTATCATTGACAGTGGCATCTCGGCATCGCTCTTTTGTCTGTTCACTACCTGGATTCATCCAAAATTGTCGATAGAATTTCATAAAAAGTATTTGAAAACACTGACGTTGTGAAAGATGTTGAAAGTTAACTTTAAAACTTGATAAAAAGTCCACAAGGACCATCTGCAGGAATCTGAATTCAGTCACTGACAAACTTTTGTTTGTCATCATTGGTGTACAATTTGCAGGCTATTTGGAAAATGCCAAGAAGCTAATGGCCACAGCAACTGCAATCAGGAAAGGGTAAGAAACAGAGGGGGTTGGGGTTGTTGGGGGGCAGTGGAAAGCATGAAGCCATCTTCTCTTGCATGCCAAGGAAAAGGTGTCAATCTTTTTTCTTTTTCTTTTTCTTTTAATCACCAGTCCTACTAGGGGGGGTGATACAAGCCGCCCCTCCTAGTACACCAGCCGGTGGTGTCAATCAAATCTTCGTTACCAGCACTTTCTCAACCTTCTGTACAGATGACCAGCTCCGAAAGCTGCATTTTGATATGCGGAAATGCACCAATAAACTTTTGAAGTTTTGAACCTAAAACTCCTGGATGAATGAGTCAGGTACCTGACACCATGATACCGAATGTTGTGGAGTACAAATCAAATCAACAAACGCAGGGGCTGCCTCCAGTTTTGGAGCTCGAGGGCCCACTTTGTGACCCGCTGCCAGAAATTGGAACTTGGAACAACTCCGAACCCTGGCAATCGTCCTGGCCTCACCAACACATTTTGACAGTGACCATCTCAACTGGAAGAATTTCCGAGACTCTTCATGGATCATGGTTGCGCTGGACACGGACCAAGATACAGTCGGGTGCCTGTCTAGCTTCTAAACAAATCTGGACATCAGGGGGGGAAAAAATAAAAAATAAACATAGCACAGAAGGTTCACAGAGGACGGGTGCGTCGGGCCGTATCTACATCAGGGCATTATCCCAACCA